ACATAATCTTCTACTGGCCTTTCAATGTTTCACTTTCCACTTTTTGGAATACTGTTTTGGGGTTCTGACCTATTCTGTGTAACCCGTCTATAATAAAACTTCTTTTTTTTTTTTACAACCCTATCAAAGTTACAATTAGTTTTGCTTCCTTGGCATTATAAGAAAATGCTCTGAACAACAAACTTCAGCGTTTAAAATTATCTTTCTGCCAATCACACCCAGGAGAGGCTTTATTTGTGGAGTGTCAGGCGGGAGGTAGAATTAAAAGGAACACCAGATTTGATTTAAAGCAGAAAAGGAACTAATTTGAGACATCACCTTGAATTTTTGCAAATGTATGTATTGTGTGTAGGGGCTCCATAAGCAATCCTGTGCAGGGCCCAGGAGAGAGTAACTGCTGTGCTTGAGTGTTCTTGAGTTGGAAATAAACTCTTCACATTCTCTGACCTGAGAACCGCTGGTCCCGGGGGTGGACAACATGAAAGGAGATTTGGGACAAGCTTAGAATGTGTTCATTTGCTTATTTAAAAAAATCACCCTCAAGTGAAAGCATAAACACAGCCATCCTTAACGTAAAGTTGAGAAGTACATGGAGATTTAAAGGTTTCGTGTTATTTCGGAGGGGATGGTGAGGAAATACTGTTCCCTGGGTTTGGGAACTTAGATGCTTCCAGCTGGCTACGGGGAAGGAATGATACGGGTGGGGAACCTCCCTCGGCTTAAAAGAGTAGCTCCAGGCCCAGCCTGAAGCCGGGCGCAGTACCTTCCCCTTACGTGAGTTGTCAGTTTCTGCTTCCCCAAGGCCACAGCGTCGGTGGGCTCAGCACCACCTGCTCGCGCACAGAGGATGTGCTGGGTTGTGACCTCAGGTGTTTTGCTAGCAGCCTAGAAAGGAGGTCAGTTCAGCTGTCAGGGCAGGACTCGGTGCCGGCTGCGCCCTAAGCGCCTACAGATTTTTTGCTCGACGACTACCGAGCTGAGGCCACCTTGGGGATCATGGGGCGGCTTGCAGCCTCCTTTGCCTCTCTCGGTTCTGCTTTGCATTTTTCAAGCCCTTACTGTGTGCTCATCTCAGGTCTGAGACACAGGACGCCATTCTAGGCCTCCTTAAGCTCTGGAAAACATTAATGAGAACTAATTTGCCCGTGAAATTCTGTTGACTGAACCTATTGGGTACAGACTGAGGCCTGGAATTCCTTGCTTGTGATCTGGCACCTCCCGCATCATACCCGTCTGGTTTCAGAACTTCTGACCAATACCATCTCCATGTGGACCTAAAAATTCTTCCCCAGCTGCGTCTGTTCCAAACCACAGCTCCAGGGGCTTCTCTCGGCAATGCCGGCCCCTTCTGGAGACAGGACTAGGCTTGCTCCTCCCCATCTCCTCCTCTCCTCCCACTTGGCTCGGGGTATATATATAACCCCGGAACTGGACAATACTAGCCAGTCCACCCACACGCCGGGGGCGGGGCTGAAGATCTGAAGGGCTCCCGGGATCTAGAAGAAACCGGTACCAAAACCTGAGGCAAGAGCAGTGAGAGAGGTGGTCCCTGTCCGAAGAGGCAGGCCTCTCACGATTTCCTGTGAATCCATCCCTACATTAAGAAATAGTTTATATGGCCACAATTTATTACATTCTTCTTATTCTTACAACCACCTTACTTTTTAAGCACCCAGAGTAACTTGCCCAAGGGCAGAATTTCATATGCACAGAACCCAGGCTTTTCTGGCTCCAACGCCCCTGCTCTTTAAGGTTCCCAGCTGTGCCACGGGCACCCGTTTCTAGATAGTTGTTTAAATCGGGACATCTTCATTGGGGAAACATCGAATACCTCTCACTTCCTCTTCTCTCGGTAGTACACGTTCACGCCCACTCCCTGCCCCTCTCTGAAAATAATCACACGGATAAAGGCCACAGTTGACCGTCACCAGTCACTCCTGAAACCCAGGCTCAGATGTGCTCACACCCTGTACCCGGCCTCTGCTCCTTTAGGTATCTTACGTCACACACAGCAAACAGGTTAAGGCAGCTCTGCACCCCATCGTCCAGCCAACACTGGGGAAAACCTCGGCCTGAGCTCCTGCGGGGAAGGGCCACCCTCCCAGCCACGCACCTGGGGACGTCGCTGCTGCGGGGGCCCAGCTCCTTTTTGCCTCTGCCAGGCTGCCCAGACTCCTGGGCTCAATTCCATCTGAAGCTAAGTCCCGGGGCCAACTGAGTTGCAGACCTTCCGCGAACGTTCCTGCCGGTCTAGGGTGCAGGACTAGGAGGCAAAAAGAGTCCTGCTCTTCGAGTCTCTCCGCAGAGTAACAAGGAGGGGGGGGGGGTGAGGGCCAAACGCAAAGCCAGGATGAACACTGTCCTCACGACCCACAAAGCAGGCCTCCAAATTTAGCAGGAAGCCAGCGCGGGTGCTAGGGTGGAGGGTGTCGGTGGGCGCTGGGGCTTAAAGCGAAGGGAGCGGCGCAGCTCGCGCGGGGCCGACTTGTTGCCATTCCCACCAGTGGATGCCACGCCAACAGCAGCGCGAGAACCTCTCTCAGGAACATCGGTCTGTCACCTCTCTTTAGGGACCCGGACCGGTAAATTTCCACCTTCTGTTTTGGAGTAAGAAATTAAAATTGACAACGACTAAGTTGCTCTGATCTCCTCCGCTCGGGCCCTGCGGGCCATCGCGTGCAGGACGGGCTCGGAAGGCCGGCTCTGCACCCCGGATCGCGACGATCCCACCAATGCCCAGCACGTGAGGCCCCCTGCGCCTGACAAACTTCCCCGGCGTCCCTATGGATTTCGGGAGCTCCTCTTGCGGGAGGCCGACCACGGCAGTGGGGAGCGCTTTCGGGGCTCCGTGAACGGCGACGGCCCAGTGACCGACCTCCTTCCCACCCAGCGCACCTTCCTGGAGCTCACGGACCCTCTCACGGTGGGGGCCGGTCGCGGGCGGAGGAGGGCGGCGCCAGGCCAACCCTGGCGGTCACCCTGGAGGTGGGGGTGGGAGCCCCGAGATACTTTGCACGGGCGTTTATTGCAAAAGTAGCAGGAAATCCTTTCTCCAGAGCGAGGGACAAGACAATGAGCAAAGATCTAAGGGCAATTCAAGTGGAAAAATTCGTGAATGCAAGATCGACCCTCAGCTGGAGCTGAGGTTTACATTAAGCTCTGTGTAGCTCTTTCCCTTTCCGGGAAAAGGCAGTATTATAACTTTTTCTCCAACAAGTGTTTGGGAAAACTTTCTTTTTAGACGTGTTATTTAATAAATCCATTCGGGCTTCGATGTTAGACTACATTAGTTATTTTCTCCTGCAACATTCACCAAACTCCAAACAATGTAGTTTTTCTCCTTTTCTGAAAACCATTTAGGAGGTTAAAGTTCTTTTTTGGGGGTTGAAAATGATATTCATTACAGAAATTTTGCAAGACTCCTAAGGTTTTCAATTAAATCCCTTTAAAAATACTTTTTAAAAGAATAACACCACTTGGCTTCCTTCAATAGACAGATGCTTGGGCCTTCACCCTAATAGTTACACACACCAATGAACAATTATCAAGTCATTTCAAGCAATTTACAGTTATATTGAAGAGTATTTCTGGGCAAAAACCCAAAAATAACTTTTGTCTTTCAGTTACTTTATAAATTTCTCTTCATACACCTTTCTGTGGCTCGTGTTAGTCCACATTGTCCTCATAAAACTGGGGGCATCTTCACTACCTGCCATTGACTGCTGTTGTCCTCCCTGTACAAGACACTGGAGGTTGGAGTGGGGGAATGGAGCTTTTAGAAATCTTCACAGAGAAGGAAAGGAGCAGAGAACACCCAAATCTGGAGAGAAGTTACAAGAGGCTGACTAGTAAAGAGGGCCAAATTGGCACATTAAGTTGGCCAGGTCAGCAGCAAGACCCTCCCAGCCCCAAGTACTTTCCCCTACACCACATGCTTTCCCCTTTATTTCTGAATTGCATCAGCTAGATATTTCTTTGAGTAGATACATATGGCTAAGTGGACTGGGGTGGTGGTGGTGGTGACCAGCCATTCATCACTCATTCTTTAGGACAACATGGGTCAATTACTCTGTATCAAAGAAACAGACATAGGAAAAGAAGGGTGGGTAATTTCCAAGTTCACAACCATTTGAGTTGTGTAGCAGTGAGCTTGGGGAGAGCACTACTGGGGAGTTTAAGGTAATGTGACTGAACACCTGAGGGCTTAGAGAAAGGACGGTATTGGGCATGAGGGTGGAGAATAGGGAGAAAGAACGTTTCAAGACACACTGCCTTCATTATAGAGCTGGTAGAGTTAGTGTCTAATCCAGGAAAGGGAAAGAAACCGTTCCTGTTTATCTTGTATGATATGGTCTTTTACACCTGAGAGCCAGAAATTGAGCCAAAGCAGTATTACATACTATATAATAAATGTACATTAAATTGATTTTTATGGGCTAGTCTGGATACCAAGGCACCATTTACATAATACCATAGGAGATGAATTTGGAGGTCCAAAAAGCTGTTTTACTTTCAGAGTTTAAGAACTTAAGTCTACATAAAGTCAGGGATATCTCCACTTACTTGGCTTTAACTTACTTAATTTAAAAATTACTTATGAATGAATCTAGTATAGCACGGTATGCCAGCATATTTAAGGACAAAATAAAAAATTAAATTTCATAGATAAATTACAAAGCTTAATACTATTATTAATCTTCCAAAACTGTATCAAAAAAGTACATTGGAGGAATATGTAACTTAATATGCCAACTGCTAGTTAGCATTACTAGCATTCTTAATACTAAGCATTATTAGTTAACACTAATTGTTGTGTTAATAATACACAATATATGAGTAGGTAGTCAACATTACCTTTGCTATGGAGATATGCTGTCATAGTAATTCATTAACAAATTTGCGTGCCTAGTAGGTGCAAAGCAGTGTTAATATATTCTACTTATTTGATTGTAAAGAAAACAAAAGGCAGCAAGAAACAAAAATGCAGAGCCAAATCTTCAGAATGTTTGTAATACTGCAAACATTTTTTTACTGCATTTAATTTATACAAGTCTAATACATACAGAAGTGGTTATGACCAAATGGATTTTTATTGCCTGCAAGCTGTTACACTTAGAAGTAGGAGAATATGGTACCTTGATGGCAGCACACATTATTACCCCACACTTTAGGATTTTTTTTTTACACTTTAAGGAAGAAATGTTCAGAACGGAACAAAACACAAGCCCACTGGGTAATCTAGACTATATTTGGCTGTGGCAATACTTTAAGCCCAGGAATATACCCGCAGACCAATTCAGAGTATTTAAGAACCAAGGTTAAAGTTTTTACACACATCACAACAGTGGCAAATTAACTATGAAACCTTGTACATAAATGAAAAACTGTCAAGCACACCATTTTAACAAGGGTAGGATAGAGCTTGCACAGTGATCAGAAGTGGCTTCTTCTCACAGTGTTGTATTATGAGAAATACATTATCTCACTTCAGACACAGGACACTACTTTGATATGACTACAGAAAAAGAAGTTAAATCTTCTAAAAAAAAAAAGTTCATGTTCCAATCATAAACAGAGCCGAAACTCATTTTGGATCAAGCTACACTAAAGAGGCTGATATTCAAAAAAAAAAAAGAGCTTTTGCATTTTCCCCCTCTAACTTTGCTTCCAGGTTTACTTTTTTAAATGTGGAGTGAAACACAAGCATTTTTATTTGGTCCAAACAATCAATGTAATTACAAGGACAAGGTACAAAATAAACAACGTCAAGGTCCTCCTTCCTTCTACAAAGCAGTATGTTTTCAGCCTTCTTCTTCATCACTGTCTTTCATCGTAATGCCCTGAAGTCCGCCTCCTTCTGAAACAGAGGCTGTAGCCTCCTCTACTGTTAAACGTCTGTGTAGAGTATCATAGGTCTTACTGTTCAGTGTGCCTTCCAACACACCCTGCAATCGGAAGTCCCTATAGGTTTTCTGGAGAAAGAAGAAAAAATTTATTTAGATACCTTTTGGATTGTATGTACGTATGTCTATACGTATGTCTATCTATACTCAGTTGGCATTTCAAAAATGATCTTTGACAAGTCACTAATGGATTCAGATTTTAGCAGCTCATGTCAGTCATCTTTTTGGTATATTTCTGGGGAGAAAATGAAATGAGAGACTCTGGATAGTGCTATTCAAACTAGAATCACCTTGAATAGATCAAAATGTTGAGTGTCAAGTCACAAATGAGCTTTTCTCCAAATTATTACTAATTGCACAGACTTTGCTATTTGCATAACCTGTAACAAAGGTGAAATGATATGTACTTATGTACATTTTTAATCTGAAGAAATTCTGATTTTTTTTATTGAGGTGCCTTTATACTGAAAAATAAGTTTTACAAAAAGCACTAGCTTTTTGGAGGAGGTACATGGAGGGAGAGTATTAATCTTGTTGTCAGTAAAAGAAATTTGTATTTTCAGGATTTTTGAATAAAATTTGTACCACTGTGTAAAAATTTGTGTACACCTAAATGTATGAATTTTGTCCTCTCCTATCAAAATTCCCTTGGAATATGAAGTGTCAAATTTGGCATAAAGCTTCTATAGAAGGGCTAATCAAATGTGTACTTACATTTTTTGTGAAACAGTAAATTATTATTGGGTGTATTATATGTCAAAATAGGACAAATATGTTATTGTTTATAGAGTGATTCTTGAAAATAATGAAACAACAATAGAACTCTGGGTTCTGTGATATTTAAGATATGTAAACTATAAAGCTTCCCTTATTTCACTTTTCCCCTTTAGTGTGATTTTTCATCATAAATGATTTTTCCTTAACTAAACAAGACTGGTATTTTATTATTGATTTTCAACGTTGTAGTGAAAGTCTATGATAAATTTAGTGGGGAACTAGAGCATAAATGAAGACACCCCATTCTGTAGTGGCACTTCTAAGGCCATTTTTTTAATACTAAAAATCTTTTAAGATGTTTTTACTGTCCTATGTTAAATTTAGGATATTAAGCAGCCAGATTTCCATGGACTAGCTGAAAAATATCAATACATATCCATGTGGCACTCTTCTAAATCATGGCTAGTTTTTCTTTTTTTTTTTTTTTGGTTTGCACTTAACAGATGAAAATAGTCAAGTAAAAAGAAGGAATGTAAAATTCCTCCTGGCCCAATATTAACAGCTCCAGCAGCTGGAAATGAACAATTCAGGGATGTCTGATTTCATTCAACATAGTAGGAAGAAAATACCCTAATATTCACAGAGCTGGGCTGAAGGTACTTATTCACAAGGTAGGAAGTTCTGATGGGTGGCATCCTAACCTTCATGATATATACACCTGGCCTAACAGACTTCTGGGAAGGAATAGAACCATTACAAGGCAGGGGGACCATTGGTATTTTCACATTTTATTTTCCTGTCTTCTTCCATCTGACTTATGTCCCACGGTATCATTCTCAGCAGTGATCTGCCAAAAACAAGTATGGAGGAGGAATAATAATTTTTCACTTGGATAATTGTTTGTTATATACAAAATTCACATGTGAAAAGTCCCCCTCCTCTCCAAAAATGAACTGAACTGTAGGGAACACTGTACAGTGTCTGAGGTCATATCTCAGCAGCAAAATTTAGATTCAGAGTGATTTTTTTTCTTCAATGATCTAAACTATTCTTGCTTAGATTTCAATAGTTTAAAAAACATACAATCCACCATCTCCATGTTCTCTTGCTAAGTGGGTAAACCTATTACTCATGGGGTATTCTGTCACCCCAAAACATGATATTTTACATCAGAATCCACAGAGTAACTCTGAAAGGTAAGTTTTCAGAAAATCCAGTAACTAAAATACATCGTATTATTACCATAGAGAATTGTGTTCAAGCCTAGAGAAATTAGATTCCAAATACATCAAGCATACAAAATACTCATTTACAGATTCTGCAGATCATGCATCTGATAGAAAGCATTATTGTTGCACCGACAATTACTGAGTTTGTGAGTCCTACTTTCTTATTCTATTGAAATTGACTTTCCTTAGACTTAGTTTAATTATCCGTAAGTTGGCTTGTACAGATTTATAGTGTGGATGCAGTCCCGAAGGCTTTCTAATTTACATATAATTAAAACTCTTACTTCCTTATTTTATTAGCAAGCGATAAGCAGTTAGGGAGGCGGCAGCACAGGTATCCTTGCAAACTCTCTCTCAGAATTCATAAAATGTTATTGACACTTGGACATCCTCTGTGGCTGCCACTGAAGGTCGGCTTGGCTCTTACTTAAGACAAGTTCCTGCCACAGGGTGTTGCTCACTTGTCCTTTCTCCTAGTAAGAGAGGCAGCTGATCTATGTTAACTGTGTTTAAATGTCATATGGCCTCTAGGGAGAACATAAATCCATCAGTCATTTTGATTATTTAGGGATTCTATCTTTCCCCTCCTCAAATAATGCATTCTGATGTTAAAACCTTGCAAATAATTTCTTAGCCCTAAATCTTCTGTGAAAATCTTACTCATTTGTTTTTTTCTTAGTGAAAAACACGAATGAACCAGTTAGTGTTTAAGTATCTTTGTGGGGCAAAGTTGGCTATCATATAAATCTTGATAGCATCTTGGTCTCCGTGGGCATGAAAGAATGGCAATCAATGCTTGTGTAAGGAACTAGATTACTCCAGTCAAGTAGCTTGGCTCTTGGGTAGAACGCACTACTACTCTGCTGTAAAATGCAGGGTGACTCTAAGTGACAGAGGATGGAGTTCCGCCTACTCAGGGGCTTCACAATTCTATACATGTGCTATTTAATAGCTTCTTAAAGTCATTGGAAATATTAACATTATAAACAAAACCATACAGGTCCTGAAAAATGATTATGTATGAAACTAGTTAAAGTCTTTCTATATTCAAAGTGGAAAAGAACAATTAGAACATTACATTATTAACACCCTAATTTCATTGTTAAAATAGTTATTTTTAATTATTATATAAAGCCCTATTACTTGATTAAATATATCAACCCAAGAAAGCATTGGCTGAGTCTGGGGACTTGCCTGTAAAAGGCAAAACATGGAAAGTCAAACATATTCATGAATTTAATTTCATATTTATCAGTCTTAACTAGTGGTAGCCAGAAGAAGAATATGTTAAAATAAGATAAATCATTGGCTTAGAGTACAATAGAAATATTATTGCATAATTCATGAAATTATTAATCACTTTTTTCTGCTAAAATATTCACTGGTGCTTGGTTTTTAACTGTAATGATGTATGAATATGAGAGAAGGAGTAACTTTTAAGGAAACAAATGAAGAGCTAATAAAAAGTGAATTTTTATTTTAAAAACAAAGAGCTGAACAAATTATTAGTGAATAACATCAGCTGAGTATGTAATTCGACATCCTGAACACAGTAGACATTAGCTTGAAAATATGGCTGACTGTAAGGGTGATCAGTTAATCCCAATATTAGTTATAGTATAGACTGCAACCTTAACATACACATACATTTGGAAGGTAAACACAGATTATTCTGATTCTCTTTCATAAAAACTTCATTTGAAAGCTCTCCAAGTCACATTTATAGAAACAAGGAAGAAATACGGAGAAATTAAGGCAAATGTGAATGTATCAGAGAGTGCTTTCTGTTTCTTTGTAAAATAGGTAACACTTGGCAAGAAATGTTTTGGATCAAAGGTGTTTTGTCCATTGAAATTTAATATTTTTAATAGTATTAAAAATTAGTGGGTGGAGATAATTTTACTTGTTATTTATGACTAATTACGATGCTGTTGCTGTGGCATGATAGGTCTGGTTCTAAATTCTAGTAGATCTGCCAATTTCTGACTGTAGAACAGAACTTTCCTATTTGTGGGTCTTTGATAACCTGTGTGTCTTTGGTACAAAAGAATCTGTATTTTTGTTAGAATGCAGGAGCCAAGAGAATGATGGAAATATTTTAATGTGGATATAACTCTAGTGAACCTTTAAGATATTCCTCTTAAACTTTTAACATCTATCAGAATCATCTGGAAGGCTTGCTAATGTATACCATGCTGGGCTCCACTTTGAGTTTCTGATTCATTAGGTCTGGGGTGGGCCCTGATAGTTTCCTTATACAACAAGCTCCCATGTGATACTGATAATGTTAGCCAGGAATGACACTTTGAGAATCCCTTTGCATATTATGTGTATAATGTGCACTTAAACACACATAAATATACACATATGCACATATATGTATATGAATTTATATATATGCATATATATATATGCATGTATATGTATGGTTTGGTAAATGATACTAAGATGGAAGTAAAGGTCATCTGTTTGAACAGGCAGCTGATTCTCAATAGCTTAGAGGTGTATTTTCAGCCGTAAATTAGGAGTTGTCTCAATTATAAGAAAAAGTTATACTTGGGTTAAATTTTGGGCTCCCTCTAGAATTTACAAAGTGTGAAAAATCATGTTGAATAAATATATTATTTTAAAGGCCCTACTCACTAAATATAATATGTATGTCATGACCTTTTCTCTTGAAGAGCAAAAGTCAAAAGGGCCTTGCTGAACTGATAGGATATCTGTTAGTTATTTGGGATGGTCTCAAACTGATCATCACTTATATATAAGAAGAGGCATGCTTCCAAAGAAATTCAGGCAGTGACAGTGTTTTACTTTCCTGTCAGTATGTAACAAAATCAGACTCTCCTTATCCTATGGGAAAATGCAATTCAAAAGTCCTCATAATAATATATCCTGATATCCTAATACACATGAAGAAAATTTATCAGAAAACATTTCTATACTTAATATACTTAGTACAAAATTATTGTGTACCTACTACATTCAGGTATATGTGTGAGGGGCTTTATCATAAAATGTGACTACTTGAAAACAAAGTCTTTTTTATTTATTAGTGAAAAAAAGATAAATTTGTACTTATTTGGGATTCTAACTGAAAAAGTGCATACAGCGCATCCTTGCTGAAAGTGATGTCTTTAAAGTACTTACATTCACTCAGTTACATCAAATACGATTTTCTTGTATATCAACAATCTTGCCATTATTCTTTATAGCTTGGTGGGCAATTCGGCGATTCACACATCTAAACACATTTTGTTTACCTTCACAATCTTGATGAGAGTCTTCAGTTGGTAGATATGAAGCTGAAGGTCTAATCTATCAGTCAACCACACACAAATGACTTTCATGGAACTGCTGTACCATTGCTGCAAAGAAGGATGAGGGCAGAGGGGAGGAGAACAAAACAGAAAACCAGCTCTGGAGTATTCATTTAGCAGATTCGGTAATGAGGGGGTAAAGAAACACTCTGAAATGACCACAGATCAGCACTTGAAGTCAATAATGCTATAATTTCCTGTGAACAGAATTGTATGTTTTGCTAGGAAATCTGCTAAGTTGACCTAGGCTGTTCTTTACACGAATTAACATTACACTCTTTCAGCTCTAACATATTCATGGGAAACAGTTTTTGCGCTTGCAGCCTATCGACCTGCTTTGTAATTTGTAGGTAACAATGGGTACTAAATATATGTTATGGGACTGAATGGACTGCCAAACAGCAGGACAAAACAGGCAAATTATTATTCAAGGAAAGTTCCTTACTGGCCTGCATGTTATGTTAAAAAACAAAAAAAGAGTAGATGTGTTCTGCCACAATGCATGTAGTCAATACCTAGGAATAACACTGAAGGAATGATGGCAAAATATATCCATAGTTTACTAACCAGTAATCCTCAGTCACACCTTTATCTACTTGAGATTTTGGAAGGAACATTGTCAGGATGGAATTCTTGTGTCTGATAAGAATCATAAAATAGATGTCAGTTGACCAAACTATGAGAAGAAAAAAATCAGTTTCATTTTGCAAGTGTTTTTAGAGGCCTCATGTTTTTTCTTCTGTTTATTATAATTCTCCTGAGGGAAAACTGAAATTCTTCTTTAATGTAATTTCCTGCTCCTTTAGAAAGTCTGGGAGCATAGTGAAAGAAGAAATTTTGTTCCTGTTAAAAAAAAAGGCAATCTGTCATTATTGGTGACATTGTAAGGGGTTCAGTAAGTATACGCCAGAGCTAGGTGTAGTTAATGCTGCAAGAATAATAATGCTACTTGTTCAGATAACCGTGAGAAATATCAAAGTCCATTCAGCATGTAGGAAATGACATTGGTGCTTTTGAAAAAGAAGGGATTTTGTGCCTGTACATATACAGAAATATAGTGACACTACAGATCACATATGTGTCTGCATATATGTTTTTAGGTATTCAAACTCAGAACAAAAAATCTTAAATCTTTTTCTTCCATAATAAAACTGTAAATTCAATTTCTAAGAGAAATCTCAAGTGATACAAGTAAGTCTGAAATTCATCTGGACTTGTACTTATGAACATTATTCTAATAGAATTTAGTATAAGAAATGGTATTTTAGGCATAAATTAAATATGATTAGTTTCACATTTCATCAGACTTATTTCTATTAATTTGTTAGTATACTGAACATGATGTTAAAATGAGATAGGCTAATCAAAATGAATAATTGATTTACCAAATACTATCTATGATATCACATTGATGAATGAACATTTCAAGTTTTTAAAATGTGAGAGAGGATATGATTTTTTTTAATGTTATTCATGTGCTCTGTTTGCTCTTTTCTAATGATTGCTTTCTGAATTTTCAGGATATGAAAAAGTATCAGAAATAAGTTTTATAAAATGAGATAGATTCCTAAATTACTAAAAAAGAAACTGCTAATGAATTCAGTACTTCAGCTGACATATTAACTTCTAATAGTATTTAAATTCTATACTTCCTTATTCCAGATTATTTATAGCTTCTTGAATTCTACTGTAATGCAGGTAAACACCCCTCAGATATTGGTGATAGTATGACTACACTGAATTAAGACCCTCACCCCGATACCACTCTCCAGATAGTTTGAGAGCTAAAATGTAGTTACAATGGTTATGACTGTTAAATTTTAGTCCTGCAACAACGAATATAATAATTTTTTTGGGGGGTGCAAAATATGATATGTTATATGAAGACTAGCATAACATACTAGTTAATCTGATAGACTGTAAAGCACTATGTATGGTAAGTTGTATAAATTTGAAAGAAATGAAAATACTTTCTTAGAATTACTCCATCTTTATGTTTTTAAAAATATGTAATTCAAAATTAAGCTTCTTTTTCCCATTACATATAAACACTACTTATGATAAGTAATAATCGAAAGGACATCCAATGTAACACAGGAATTCATTGCTAATATGATAATGTCTTTAACGCAATGGCAAAATGATAACTTTAGAGAAAAATAATTTGACAATAAAATTATCTGAAGTTAACTATAAAACTAGAGAAGAAAGAGAACTATTGTTAAGTAAAATGTTTCAGCATCTCTATCATCTTATTTTACAGGCAAACAAATTATAAAGAAAATTCTCTAAGAAAAATTATTCTAGCAGGTAAGAATGCATATTTTTTGGCTCTCAAGTCAAAGCCTTTTGGAAATTTTCAGCTAAATCAAGCACATAATTAATTATTCTGTTGTACAAGAATGCATATTTTTTGATTACCAACTCAAAGCACTTTGAAGAATTTCAGCTAAATCAAGCAAATAATTAAGAGAAAGCAGTAGCTTAGCTCAGAGTTTACGTTGCTACTAAGAATAGTCTAACAACAAAACCCCCCACTAGGACTGCTTCTTTCTGGTATATAGTGAAATACACACACACACCCTGCAAACAAAGAAAAGCACCAAACAGAAATCTCTAGCACTTTCCTATTTCTGGTGCTGGAACTGATTATGCTCCTCTTTTGGGTGCTGGAATGTAGCTAAGTCCCATTTTTCCATCTTGAGGAAAAACTCAAAGGCAGGTTAGCTTCATTCTCTCCTCGGCTCAGACCAAACCAACCTCCCCAAATAAAGGAGAAAAGAACATTTCAAAAGGGCCAATGTGCAGTAAAGTCTCAATGTTAGAAAATGTGCTTTTATTTTGGAAAAGTTAATTTCATAAAACAACTTGGCCGACTATTCACCGTTCCCTTCAGGGGAGGACAACTGAGGGGCGCTGCAGCCGGCACCCAAGTCATGGGTAGGGCATTATTTATTGCTTTATTCTTTGCTTTGGTCTACTTTGGAATAAAGCCGTAGGTGTATGTTTTACATTTTTTTCTACATCAATCCCTGACAGCAGCCTACCACTTTAACAACAAATATGGGTTTTTTTTTTTCCTTTTGTGGTTCATTCAGCTCCTGTAAGGGCATGCATTACTCACTTCATTTTCTTGAGATATCTCTTTTAAAGCAAAAATAAAAGAAAAGGAAAGGCTAGGGTTGACTCTGTGAGACCCCTGTATTTATTCACACTTATTGTGCATGACTGTAGACTGGTAAATCATATTAGCAGCCCGTCTCCCCATCAAGCTGCTACTTGCTTTCCAGCCCTGGGAAGGTTCAACAAATCAACAGGAGCACGGAAAACAGAACATCAGTCTAATCTAGTGTTTAAGGTGAAGTTTTCAAACCCAATCTAAGAAGATCTTTAGAGCAAGCAACAAGCTGAAGGGCTCAGAAGGTGGTATTGACGATGAAAGAGTGTTGAAATATTGAGAAGCGCAGCACTTGTGCATTTTTAATAACAAGAGGGTCAACAAGGACACAGCTCCCTCAGTGCCAGGAGTTGCCACTGACTATGGAAATTGCCACACCAGGGCTATAAACGCTTGCAGTTCATCAGCTTTCTTAAACAGTTCATCAGCTTTCTTAAACACCCTGAACCCCCTCAGCGGACCTTTAGTCTTGAATTAACAAACCAAAGCAATGAAAGAGGGTGCAGTCTGAATGGCTGGCATTGATCCCCAACTGTGTCAGCACTGCTACAGGCCCTGAAAAACTCTCTCCATTGTCAATAGAAATTGACAAACCTCCTCTCCTAAATAGTGCAGCTGAGCCGGGCGGGATCCACGCAGCTGTAAAGGGCTCTGCTCTTGGGGCCGGGGAGCACTAACAATGGGACAAGCATGAGCTCTTTGTCAGTCCCAGACTCGGCAATTTTCTAACAAGGATTAAAGTTGTTTCTCCGCAGTGCCGGTGAAAAGAGATTTAGCAACATACCGAGCTTTCTTCATGCAAGTTAAAGAGAAGTAGTTAAGGAATTTCATTATTCTGTTGACAAGTGGAAATACAAAACAAATATATTAAATATGCGCAACTCTTTTCTGCCTAATTTATAACATTTTGAGGATGATTCGATTAAATATAACACTTACTGTCTGGCAACAAGCATTTACATTTGTTTTGTAAGTTTTATTTTTAAAAAGTCCAGCTGCTTGCCACCTGGAATGAGGTCTCAATACATACTAATGCACAATGCCTTTAGACCCTCTGTGGCTGATATTCCTAAATCTGAATCACAAGACCACATAGGGTTTATACAACCGGCTGCCTCAAGCAAATGATTTCTGTCAGAATGTGGCTTCTGATGATGATGGCATGGTAAAAATAGCTGTTTGATAGGGAACAAATCTCTGATACATTTTCTGCTTAAGTGTTTAGCTCTTTATTGATTATGAATTGGTACAACTAGTTGATAAATTTTGATTCTTTTCCAGCTATGCTCATCTCAATAGGTGAACAACAACACATACAAAAAGAACCAGTACCTTTTAGTCTTCTAAGATAAGGAATAGCCAGATTTCTATGGTACGTGTGCATTGCTTCATTTATTTCAAGGGAAGCTGTTTAACAAGCGTTGAGTCACTGTGTTGGAATGAAATATCTAGAAAAATCTCACCTTAGGAAATATGTATCTTTCAAATGCTAAGTTGAGTTAATAAGAGAACAAATAATCTTTTTGAAATGCAGGTTTTGATAAGTTCGAGAAATAGAAGCCATCTTTTAGGGTCCTTTTATAGCTTTGGAGAGCAATAAAACATTTAGAAATGTTAATGCCCTATAGTTTCACTGTAATATACTGTAATGCCCTAAAGTATATTAAAAAGTAAATATAAATGCTTTATTATACATTGAGTGTTCCTTTTGTCAATAGTACATCTACTTCATATAACTAAATTTGTGGTCACTTCCATTTCTAAACACTAAAATGTAAATTTTATGTGAATGGTGAATTTGATACAATGATTTTCCCCTCTATTCAAGACATCCTACTGAAATGCTCATCTGTGGTAAAACACTAGCATT